ACGATGTATGTCGGCACAGAGAGGCACAGGAAGTCAAAGTCAAGCAACTCTCCACCACTTTCTCTGTAAGCTGCATAAGCTTCCCAGAGGCCCTCAGCCTTTAGCTTCGTCAGTGATTCCCATCTAGATTCATTTACTTAATATCAAACTGACATATTTCTGACCTCAAATGTTGGTCAACACCGATTCCACAATTGATAATTAATTGCGTGTATGCATAGGAAGACTCAAGGATTTTTATTGCATTGACGCTCAAGCCAAAAGAAATAAATTAGGTCTGTGACAAAGAATTAAAGTGGAGAAACTTTAAATTCCTACTTTTCACCTTCAGCAGTATGATAAATAGGGCATGTTCTGAGCCACATGAACCCGGCTGCTATCTCAAGGTATTTCAGCACAGAAGAGCACTTGTCAATCATCCAGCCTGGTATTAGTTTGCACCCTTCGGACCCGCTCAGAAGGAAATCGCTTCTTCTTTGACAACCCACAGCAACTGAGCTGTATGTGTGGGTTGACTCTCCAACACGACCAGAACACGGACACATTCAGCCTTTTTCAACCGCTAAAAACAAACACAGCTACACTCTCTGTGTTCTTGTTCCCATTTTTCCTCGTTCCCCCCCCCCCTTTCCCTCAAAGGCTTCCTCACAATCCTGTTAGGCTCTCAGCGTGGCTCCTCTCTCTCCGCTCCCGCTCCTTTAGCCCTGGTTTTGCTGAGCTTGGCCAAGACACAACACAATCTTCCTCTGCTCCTTTTCCCGCTTTGTCTCCTGTTTCCTTCCCCAAATTCCACCGGCCCATTATTTGCGCCGCTTCCTTTCAGTTTCTCTCTCAATCTTCCTGCGAACAGCTCATTATCCCTTATCTGCTTTTTTTATTCCCTTTCCCATCTGTTATGTTCAAAAATGAAGAAACGCCGGACGGACAGAGGTCATCGCAGATCGAAAGGTTAAATCAAATGTATTTAATAAAGGAGGTGGTGTTGTGGTAAAAAGAACATCTCAGCTGAGGAGCCGCTGGTCTCTGCAGCCAACAGGCCCCAGGTCAGTCCTTTGACCATCCCTAGTGCCCGTCTGTCGCCTCCACCAGCGAGCTCGAGAACAAATATGGTTCCTACAGGTATTTATAACAATGCTTAAAGGTGTGAAAGTCAGTGTCCACACCTCTGGGAGTGGTCTTCTGGTGAGTTCTATGTAACTCGGATTTCGAATGTCTGTCTGTCATGGCTGCATTCTGGTGTACACTAAATGTATTTTATTAATCTTATGAACGTCTGAATCTTCATTTCACCGCCGCGCCTCGTGTTGCTATCATGTGTGCCGTCACCAAGATGTTGATTCACTTACAGCAGAGTGCATGTGGCACATTAGCCCACTCACATGCAATAAGGCCATTTGGATCAGAAATGTGATCTGATGTGGCACTGAAACGTGTCCACCATTAGCACAGAAGAGAGCATTTGGAGTTAAGGGCGCTAGATGCCAAGAGCTTTGGCTCCAGCGCTCTGCAGGGGGGTTTCTTCATCCACATTAACTGTGTTCACCGTCACCAATTGGTGCCAATTGCTTTCTGAATCTCATGAGCCAGCACTTGACACCCTACAGAAGGGGATACACCGGCACTGCAGCTGTGAAACAATCTTGTTTTAGCACTAGAACGGGGATGTTGTGCCCTGGAGCTGCAGCTAATGAGGACCTCGACTATGAATGAATTGTTCTGTAAATAAAGATCCCAATAAGTTTGTTTTTTTGCGCAAACAACAGAATGAACTCAACGGCAAAGCTAACAACGTCTCCACGGGGACGCCGCGTCAAAAAATGACTTCACTAAATCTGCATTGCAACACTGCATTAAAGTGACCGATATTGGAGTGCAAACAGCGGCATTTTTCACCGGTGAAAGAAGGTCGAGGAATCAGTACTTGATCAGTACGTACAACAGTTATCTTCAATCTTTAAAGAATGTGAGGACACCACTTCCGTCTGTCCTCCTCTGGCAACATCTCTGTATGCAACAGCCTTAGATGTGCATGCAACCTGCCGCTGTGAACATTGGGCTGCTTCTGTGTGGGCTCAGACAAGATCTGCTCATTGCTGCAACTTTGTCCCCTTCTACTCTGCGCGGTTACATAAAGAGACATTATACAGCGTCCAAGGATGAAGGCTTTGAGTTCTTCAGTTAAAGCCACTCTCCAGCTTCTGGCTGGACACAGTAGATTTAGAGTCTCCTGAGCTACATTGTGTTCCTCGATTTATTTACTAACAGGCTTAGGTTGGGCACTGGAAGAATCTAAGTTGCCCCCGAATATTCCCAAACAGCTGTGTTTTTTGGGATTACTGGAGCTGCATTGCCCTCTGCAGGCAGGAGGACGAGCCAAAACGGACCACGACAGCTTCTGTGCACGCTCCCTGCGGGCTTACTGCCGCGTAGCCCCCTCCAGCACACGAGCACACCCAATTACCTTTCCTCCCTCATTTTAAAAGACAGATGCACACACCACGAGGCAGGACACCACTTCAGTCATTCATCATTAGTTTTCGTTCCCCCTCAGGCTTGGATTACAGGTTGAGTTGTGTTGACACTGTTTCTTAAAAATCGTAATAGAGATTGGATTATCATGGACACCCATTCCCCACTACGCCTGGACTCTGATGTAAGATGAAAGGCACAATAGTTGCATGGCGACGGCTTATCATCATAACACGTCCTAACACCACTCTCTCCTTCAGATATGGATTATTTGTCTTTTTTATTGGTGAAAGGAAAAGAGCAGGGACCAGCTGCCCGCAGCAAGCACTGCTGCTGCATTTAAAGGCATACGGCATGATGGCAATATGACACCAGCATCATTACATGAGCATTTTAGAAATCGCATGCCGCAGAGATGACTAGGTGTCCACAATCCAAGATATTTGTAGCTGTTTTAAAAGCACACGGATTCTGCCTCTTCAAAACGTTGTAAAACGTAGTGTCAAGTTACTCATTCTAGCGCTTGATTGACCTATTAATCTATGACAGCTTGATACTGATGCATCATTGCAGAAGCGGCATATTACTAGACGAGGTGGAGCTTTAGACTTTACAGTTAGGTGGATGAGGTAAACAAAACAAAAACAAAGCTTGCTACACATTTTCAGGTGACAGAAAAGGTGGCTCTATTAGCAACGAGCACAACTGCCCAAAAACATGTCATCTCCTCCCTGTGGCCTTGTTGCTGCCGCCGAGCGATTCAAGCCGCCCCGCTCACCAACGCTTTTATGTCTGTGGTTTCAAACGCTCAATGGGGTCATAGGTCGGCGCTGCGTGGGAAGATGCTGTGGCCCACAGGATGCGCTGCGTTATACACTTCCATGTACCAGTTTTTTATTTGGAATGAACAAAAAAAATAACTAAAAAATCCCATTTTGATTTAGAGGATATGTGTAGTCAAAACAACAAATAACCACAAATAAGGCTGAAACTGCGATAATGATTGGGAATCTGAGCAGTTGTGTATACTCTATTCTCTAAAATGTCCGCAGCCTGTGCAGAGTGAGAATGCGCCTTCAAAAAGCACGGAGCAGCTCCTCAACGTGTCCTTGCCCCCCACCTTGATGTCAAATTGAAATGTTCCCAACGCCGCAACAAAGGAGTTTGATGACAGAACATTTTCATGCCTTCAAACTCTGCACCTACACATTTGCACAACAATGCAGGGAGACATCCATTGTAGAAGAGGGAGATACCAATTTCACCACTGTCAGAAGCCTCAATAGACTCAAATGCCAATGCAGCTTCATTTTATAATCCTCCGGCTTTGGCTGCTCGAGGCCATTTCGTGGTTCTAACAACTGCACGGGCCACACAATGGCCGCTTTCCATCCACACAGAATCTTCCGCTCCCCTGAGTTAAACCTGCTCTCCACCGACTCCACGGCGTTTGCTGAAAGGGCGTTCTGGGTAGTAACTAAAACAGATGCAGACAAGCAGGTTTGAGGGGGAGGGGGGGGGGAGTAAATTACAACACTTCATCACAACATCGCTGCTGGAATGGACCGAACGTAACGGATGGATATCAAGGAGTGAGGGTGCATAATGGAAGGGGGAAGGAGGAGGGGATTGATGTCTGAGAGCATCTGCTTAAGGGCACCGGTGCATCTGCCTCCGCCCGGCGTGCAGAGCGGATACCGGGCTCGGGCTCCGTGGACATCGCTCACTCAGATGAGGCATCGACACAACGGGGAGAACGGTAATGAGACAGCACACTGTTGCAGCGTGCAAAGCTGCAGGTGACGCTAACAGATGTTACGCAGAGTCCAAAATGAGGACAGGGTCTTCATCTCCAAATCTCTCTCCTCCTCTTTGGACCCTGATGAGGAAGTAAAGCAGAAGCCCATCTGTAATTAGCAACCAGCGCTTAAATCATTCAGAATTGTTTTACTCTTGCATCTTGGATTATGCATCATTTTGGAGCAGGTGTCGCCCCCACCCCGAACCCCACCCATTCCCAGCTCGTGTCGGGGTGAAGCTTGGGCTGTTTCACTAGACAGAGCGATCCCTGGTTGAGGAATGTTTTGCCTGAGGGAAATTTCATTTAGATCAGTGACGTATCACAGCAGCAAGTTTTATTACCCAAACATGACTCAAAGTGTCAAACACACAAGTTCATTGAATGACTCGTTAGCGGTGTAATAAATGGAAAATGAACCCAGCCACACTTAAATCCTTTCATACCTGCGGTTACCGAAGACACAGATGGATTTGACCGGTTTTCTGCAGATATTGGGACACAATTGTAATGTAAAACACCTCCTCAATATCTTTATCGCACTCCATCAGCTTTTTATCAGTGGCATCACAACCACAATCTCAATCCTCTTATGAGAAGTACAAGTCACTACAAGAAGTACTCAACATAAGCAGTGACAGACACAAGTGTGGGTACAGGAGCAAAACAACAAACACTCCATTTCCCATCCAGCGGCAGCTGATGCAGGAACTTAATACACATCAGTCAAGAATTATACTTGTAAACATTTTTAATTGTGCAGTTTTAAAATACAAACTGAGTAGAAAAAATATTTTTTCAAACATCTAGCGCATTAACAAGAGAGCTGTTCCATAGTTTTGAAGAACAATATTGGAGTTTTAAAGTGATATATCTCAAGTATTACTTTTGCTACACGTGTGTTGTGACCCGATAATGGGCTCCTCCAGGTGGCGTGTTGTGATGTCTCTCCTCCCAAAAACTCCTCCAACACGCATAAACTAAACTGGGGCGATGTTGTTTTCTCCAGATGTGTTTGTTTGAGCTTTTTAATATTGAATTTTCTTGCTATTTTCAGCTTTTTTTCCCCCAACGTAAAACTGGGGGCCGGTTCCCGGGAAATATCACTTTAAAAACACACACACACACAGTGTAAACAGCAGAACGCGTATAAAATCTGTAGCCCTGTAGAGAAATACATTTTCACGTTTACATTTTTAACAATACGTAAAAAGATAAGCTCCTTTATGATGCTGCCGCCAAGAGACAGAAGACGTCATCTTTTATAGATGTAGCTAATATTTTCATGGATGTAGTACTTAAGTGAAAGGTCAAGACATTGTTACTAAAAACGATGATGTAATGTAACACATATCCATGTACAGTACAGCAAAACACTCCCGCAAATTCAAAAGGGGAAATGTTTGACTTTAAGAAGATCATATTTAAAGCACTCCGCTGTGAAAAGCCACTTATGACCTGCAAGTTGCCTCATACACCTCAGTGTACGGTGCAAAAATAAACGAAGAAAATACATTTTTAATGGCGGCGTGTATACAAATCTATTATTCAGTAACAGACATATATAAGGTTGCAGCGGACACGTTTACAATCCTTGTCAATTAAAAGCGTTTCAGTCGGACCAGTGGAGTCCACACCGTCTAACACTGATATCTAAAATAAAAAAATGACGGCCCTTTTGTCGAGCAGAGGCAGAACCCGATTTCAAACGAGTTCTTGGCAGCTTCTCGGTTTACCGTTAAGCGGTTTCTGCGCGGGACGTCCTTTCCCACGGTGCTCCTGTCCTTGGGCGCTCGCCGTCTTCCCCGGCGGGAGGCCGCGGTCTCCCCGCGCTCGCTTGTCTACACGCCGCTCGCTTGAGACAGAAAGCAAAAGAGGAGAGCCATGATTGGAGGTTAAAAAATGACGTCAGGAGCGTCGCCGTTAGGCTGCCTGTTCGCAAGAGGCGGGAGAGGCTTGAAAAAATCTGGGGGAAGAAAAGAAAAAAAAAAGAAAACGTCTACGTTAGTCGTCTACACCCACCGAGGCCTGAAATCAAAACAGTCAGCGAGCGCTCCATCGAGGACGCTGCGAGCAGAAAGCATCGGCCGGGGGGATGAAGACAGAGAAGCCTTTGAGCCGAGAGAGACGTCTGCCACCACGAAGGAGCCACACACACTCACACATGCGCCCGGCGACGTGCAGGAGAAGAGAAAGGCGCTGGTGTGTGGGAAGCTAATTAATAGGCAACACACACAGCTTGAAAAGGCAGACAGAGTTCAGAGTTTCCTCTGCAACGCTGTGAAAAACAACATCGCGACTAACGCGGTGCTACTCTTCGAAGCAAAGATTGTATTCATGTGAGACAGAACTGTACTAGAGGCAGAGGCCCAGCACAGAGGACACAATGATGGATGAATGATTAGTGACAGACGTGAAATAAAAACAGTGGACTTCACGGGCTTCTTTACCAGAACGTCTTGAGTCCGCGAGGGGTTCTAGTTTTGGCAGCCTAGAAACCTTGGGTGTGCCCCATCCCACTGAAGAAACAGAATAAATGAAGAGGAGTCAACGAGAGTTACCCACAAGGCACACACTACAGATTCTTCTAATACAGAGTTGACAGTTGTGCTAAGTGGGTGATTAATACACTGCATCCCCCCCCCCCCAGCTGAAGAGGAACATCCTTAATGTGAAGCGGCGGCAGCGGGAAACATTCGCTTAGCTTCGATTGGGCTGGAAAGCGACCAGTAAACAGTTTAATTCATTGAAGCAGGAACACACGGATTCCGTCTGAAGCTAGAAAGGGTATTTTTAAGGGCAGACTGACCGGGAGGCGGGGGGGGTGTGGGGCTCTCCGCCGGCCCGTCCTCTGTCCTCAGCGGGTCCACCCGGTGCTTCCTCTTCAGGTGCAGCTTCCTCGTCTTCTTCTTGTCTTGCTCGCCTGTTCTGGCTTAAAGACATTGACAAAATGAAAACAATCAAAATGTTCAAATCCACGTTTCATCCCGGAGACGGCTTCAGGATGCCGTTGTAGTTCTTCTTCGTGTGTTTTTATTTCTTTGTCTTCCCATTACACATTCAGCACTTAGAGTCCAGTGAAGGAACGGAGGGGACACATCAGTCGCTCTGTTTAATCATTTGCTTTCTATTCATCTACAAGTAGACGTTCGTCTTTCACTGTGGTGCAAAGCCAAACAATAAGCTATGAGGAGCGACTCTTCAAAAGCTGCTGCCGCCGCCACGTCCGGACGGACTTCTAAATGAACATTTTGGCAGAAAAACCGTTCAACTCTTTGCCAAGGGACAGAAATCACAGCGTGTTCTCCAGTTAATCCCGGCCTCTGAGCTCTAATCACAGAATACATTAGGACATTTGGGTGTGATACCTTTGGAGGAGATTCCACGCTCACCTGATCTGACGTTTTCCGACTCGTCATCCTCCTCTCCCTCCTCCTCCTCTTCCTCCTGATCAGGGCCCGTCTTCGGGCTGCTGGTCCGGGCCTCCTGCAGCTCCGTTTGCCTCCTCCGCTCCTTCTCATCCTTCTGAAAGGAGGAACAAATCAATCTTAACGACATTTTTTTTGACGTAAACTTTTGCTGAAACTAGAAGTCTGCAACACCACGTCTGTGATGTCTGCACACAGAGGTCACACACACACACACACACCTCAGAGATCACGCTGCTGATTGGTTGGAAGGGGCTGGGTATGTTTTCATCCTCGAGCTCCTCTTCGACCATCTGCCTGCCCTCCCGCTCCGCCTCTTCCCGCTCCTCTCGTTCTCTGTGGACAGAACGAGGAGTCTTCAGCATAATTATGCGCCCGTCCCTTTGATCTGAGGTCACATTTGATTACAGTTGCGTCTGCCATGCATTTTTCTTTTTTTGAACATCTTATCTATTTTTTATTGTTGCCTCTGAGCCAGAGAGCATGATTAAATCATTTTTATGTATTGTACAGATGGGGAGATTGCACACATTTCCATTTTGATTTTTCTTTCTTTTGAATTTTCTTCTCCCCTTTATCTTTCCCAATGTGCACGTCTTCCCTTTTCCGACTAACTTTCCTTCTCTCCATTTTGTACATTAGGACGTTGGGTACAAATATTCAATGGTTAAAATTTGATTCCACTGAATCCTCACCTCTGGTCTCGTATCTGCTGCACTCTTTTCTTCCTCTCCTCCCTGTCCTGGTCCTCCTGGGCGTGCTGCTCGGCCGTGTCCTTCTGCACGCGCTCAGTAATGGCCTCGTAGTCTTTGGCAATGTTGTTGAGGAGCCACTTCAGGCCCTTCTTGATGGACTTGTCGACCTTCTTGCCGTAGCCTAGCACGGCGGAGCATGGCTCCTGGCGGCCGGGGAGGATTCATACAGTGAGAAATGAGGCCTCCCAATCATCACTCAGAGAAAACACAAACAGAGGCATTTGACCAGGCTCTTACTACAGGAGAAGGAACCAACATGGCTCTTTGTGTGTGTACCACAGTTAAACAGAAGCCCTAGATGTCATTCATCTGCCGTTCCACAACAGGTGCACACCCACTTACGATCTGACAGAGACACTTGTTCTCGTTAACGAGCTTCTCTAACGACAGGTTCTCAATGATGTCTGCCTCCGCCAGCGCTCCCTCTTGGTCTTGTTTGTTGGCAAGCCTGGAGGCACAGACGGGATGAAGAGGAATTTAGTGATTGATGTTGTGACGAAAAAGATAAATTATTAGAAACTTTGTAATTCCTCGCCTGTGACGAGACCAATACAACCAACTCAATATTTGGAAAGAAGGAGAAAGAAGCCGCAGGGGAGTTATAATACTCAATATCGGCATTGTTGTTAAACACATAACACAGTTTGATAGTCAGCTGCAGTTGCATTTCATAAGGAAATATTACGGAAAAATGACTGTGCCGACTGTTGATCACAATACTATCTGCACACCTGGGGAAACTCTGCGTGCCTTTGTTTCCCGATTACTGATTAAGCAGACGCCTGCAGGGACACTCACACGAGCACAGGCTTCCCTGCGATGCGCGGGTGCTGGAGGACCTCAGCCATGGTCTCCCGTGTCTCCTGGATCCTCTGCACGTCGCTGGAGTCCACCACAAACACCACACCGTGCGACTCCGAATAGTAGTTCTTCCAGATGCCCCGGATTCGCTTGCCACCCCCCAGGTCAAAGATGGTCACCTCGAACTTGCCCTGCTTCAGATCGACTTTGGAAAACCCCACAGTGGGAGCCACATCCTGTGGGTTATCTGCAAAGGAGACAATCACGTCGTCACGTTAACCTTGAAAGCGTTTCAGATGTTTTTGAAGCACAGCTTTGCTTCAAACCTTTGGAAAAAATGTGTTCAAATTGATAAAATATGAAAGCAGCGAGGCAGTCAGCCAGTTCAAGGTAAAATAAACATGATGATAAATATTAAACAAGAGTAAGTGAGGCGTAACAAGATGAGGAACATCTAGGTTGACTAACTCCACTTTTACATTATTTACAAAGATTTTTTTAAACAAGAAAAATGTTGAAAACGCTAAAATAACCCAAATAACTAACAGCCCTTACCTCCTTGAATTCCTCGAACTGTGGCGGTCTTCCCTGCGTTATCCAGTCCAACCATAACCAGAGTCACCTTCCTGTTGTGGAAGAACATTATTCAAATAAACACCGACAGCACTCGGGGCCAGAGGTCCAGGTCGGCAGTGGGGCAGAAGAAGGAACTGATGTCCTGCCTCTAAACGTGCAGCATCTGAAGCCACATTAGCGGGAATAAGATCTCAGGGTGCATCGGAGGGCCCTTATTGTGAAGAACACAATCAGACCGAGTGAATGAGCGACAGTCACGTAGTCAGCACACACAATTACACCAACACAGAGATACAGCTTATCTGCTCGGGGCCATATTAGTACTGCTGATTATGATTATCATATTATTTGGCAGATTGTGGAATTGGCAAACTTTTCTGTTGTGTGTTCACAAGTATCACATGACTTCCACATATTTCATTGCAAACACAGGAACTGTCATCCAAGCAGGTGTGCAAACATGTATCCGCTTTGTATACACACACTGAAAAAGAGCACCGAAGACCCGAGAGGAGATGTACCCAAAGCCAAACCGTACACAGCAGTCTTCGCCTCCGAGCTAAATACCTAACTTTGACACTCGCGTCGAAAAGACATCAACCGCACAATCCATCTATCTGTCCTCTCGAGCCAGGGGCCTTCATCGGGGAAGCCGCTTGTTGCAAACCTCCAACGGGTGAGCGGCTGTCTGCCTCGTGTGCGCTCGCCTCTGCTAAACCTCTGCTCCGTCCTCGCTGCTGCAAACACCTCGCAGCAACAGGCTGAACAGACCCAGCCGAAGGATTAGCGAGAGGATTTCTGACTAAGTCCAAAGGATCAGGTGTCTCAAATGCACCACGTGGGTTAAGCAGTCACAATTACTTTTCTGTGGTTCAGCTGCTTGGCACAATGAATGTCTTGAATGCTTTGTCTTTTAGTTGTGAAGTGAAGTTTGCAGGAATGAGGCAAGTTTATTGGGGAGGTACAGAGCAGAACATTAACACTCACTTCAAATCAAAGATGAATAGATTGATGTTTTGGATCAGAGATGCACTGCACAATGCACTTAGTAATATGATGATTTTTCAAGATCGGTTCCACTGAGAAATGATGATACAAGAAAGCTAAAATAGTGACAGAAAATTATAATTTGTCCTTCATTTCATTCACTGATCCACTGAAACTCGATCGGTCTCACCTGACACTGGTTAAAACTCTTTTAACATACAGTATAAAAAAAAGTGCATTGTGCCTGAAAAGCCAACTGTGTCAACTATTGACAACCAATTCAAACCAGTGAAACGACCGGATTGGAGCTGAGCGACGAGGACAGGAGGGTGGGGGATGACAGCATCGCTGTAAAACCCAACTTACCTTGCGGGCTCTCGCCAGCGTTTCAGCCAGTTGCAGCAGTTCGCCATCAGGCTAAACATCGCAGTCCGAGTCCAGGTATCTGTGATCAAGTGGTCATCTCTCCAGACGCGTCAAAACCACGAGCCGAGCGGATCGATTCTCAACCTGAATCGGTTAACATAGCGAAGCTATAACTCCTGACAGCATCAACCTCAGCACCTTTTTTTTAATTATCGGCGGAACCAACGCTAGAGAACCAAGTTATCGGGTTGGTTCAGATGACACCCGTTTCCAGAAATTTGAAATCCGTGTCCCGTCCCTTACCAAAGCTAAGCTAACGCAGCTAGCGACAACGGTATCTTATTACGTTAAACTCGTTTGAGTTCATAATAGTATCATAAGAATAGAAGCTGCGCTAAGCTACAATAAGTAACGCATTTTATTCGCGAAATGCAAGCTAACGGTAATTAGCGTTAGCTGAGGTGAGCTCGAGCTCGTCTTCTTTGTTTACGCCGTATTTTCCGCTGCTAGGCTGCGGACGTGCTTACGTCATCTCCCGTGATCAACAAATCAGCGTCTACGTACGCTGTGATTTGTTTGTATGGAAATGGTTTTGTATGGGAAGGAATATAGTAATGAATAAAGGTGTAAAACACCCTGTAATATGATACAATATGAATACAGTTGAGTACAGCAACAACATAACTTACACCATCATCGTTCAATAAGTGCTCATGAGTAAATGTAACTTCCCGTCGTTGTCTTTTTTCCTCGTCAACTTAGCGCCATCTACTGTAGAAGCGTATCCATGTTTGTAGTGCGCATGCGCGGCATCACGAGCTAGTTTCGCTGCTGCAGCGCGTGCTATCACAATCGGAGTATTTCGAGTTGTATCAAACCCAACATCCATCCTCCTCATCTCAATCTGGTGAGATACTCATCTATGATGGCCTTTTCTCAATTCCCCATTATATAGCAGTTGACCTGCTCGTTTTAAACGTATGTGGTCATGCGTAACAAGTGACCATTTTAATAGGCTACCAAATGTAAATTTGTAACTTGTGTATTTTGATTGTATGCTACTTTATTCTTTTTAATCACTACATGTATTGGACAGCTGGGGCTACTTTGCAGATTCACATGGCGGAATATTAATAAAAACACGAAACTTTCCTATAGCAATTATTATAACTAGGAACCCGCTGTTACGTCACTGCTGGCTTGCCTCCGCTTGGGTGGAGTTGTTCACATTCGTTACATAACAGGTAATTTAGCTGACGCTTTTATCCAAAGCGACTTGCATTACATTTTTAACCCATGGCTTTCACTTTTTGCACGGGGAGCAATTAGGGGTTAGGTGTCTTGCTCAGGGACACTTCGACATGGGGCAGCCAGGACTCGAACCACCAACCTTGTGGTTCCCGGCGCGCCCCCGCTACCCCCGCGCCACGACGACCCCGTTTGCTGTTGACTCAACAGCAACAGCTGTTTTCTGCCCAGGTCGCCTGATTCGTCACACATTCAAGTATTTTGCTGGAAATCCTCAAACTGCATCACTTATCCACTGCAGCGATAACGATTATATAAGTGAGCACTACATTGTCACTGCCACGTATAAAGAAATACATTAAAGAAAATAAATCTATTCAAAGATCGTGACAACCTGGCAAGCAAAACTATTTAAAGTTCTGAAGGCAGTTGCGGGTTCAAAAACCAGTAGGGACGTAACACTGGAAGTAGCTCTCCACCTTTACCAGCTGCAGCATTAAGAGGTTAATAGATACATGGATCAACGATTATAATCCAAATACATTACATTGCTCTGAATTGGGCCGTTCTGCATAATGTTGTTGCATTAATTACCTTTTGAACTTTGAATAAAGTAGACTTTCGAATGCAGCACTTCATCTACACTGTGACATTGTTCTGGTGTTCACTGAGTCTCATTGCCTACCCTCTTGTGTTTCGCAGCTTTAATGCTCTCAACAGTGTGTTGAAGAGATTATCTCTGGCAGTGAGTTAATTATTGAGCTGGTGTACTTTGCGACGCCAAAGAGCTTCAATAGAAGCGGGCCTTGAGGTCACGGTGGCAGGTTGCTGAATGACGACGTGCTGTATTTTGCAGGTGCCTGCCCTCCTGAATGCTGATGACTCGCATCTTCGTCTACGGCACCCTGAAGAAAGGGCAGCCCAACTACCACCGCTTGTTCGAGAGCGCCAACGGGAAGGCGGAGTTCCTCGCCTCGGCCTGCACCAGCCAGAAATACCCGCTGGTGATCGCCAGCGAGTACAACATTCCCTTCCTCCTCAACATCCCGGGTCAGGGCCACCGAGTCCACGGGGAGATCTACAAGGTGGACGACAAGATGCTTGAATTCCTGGATGCCTTTGAAAATGTTCCCAGCATGTACCAGCGCACTCCGGTCAAACTGGAGGTGGAGGAGTGGGCGGGGACGACGGAGGGGGAAGACAGGCCGGCAGCGGGCAGCGTCACAGAGGCCTTGATGTACAGCACCACCACGTACCAGCCAGGATGGCCGTCGCTGCCCCACCACGAGAGCTACGACTCCAATGGCGACCACGAGCTCCAGTATGTGACCAGATCAGAACGCGGCGGAGGTCACCCGCCGGAATGAGAGGAGCACATCGAGAGAGAAACGTTGCACAAGGTCTTCGACCTCTTCAAAACCAGCACTTGATATTAAGTGAATAGAAACGTCTAGTTTTTGTTTTAGAACATAATTATTAAAGATGATGAAGAAAAAGTTGTTTGATGCATTGCAGGAGTGCAAAAGAAAAACAATGTTTTGGGCCTGTAATAAGTAGTTGAGTGTTAATTGTTTAAAAGTCAAACATTTTTAGTCATAATTTAAGTTTTGGTCGTTTCAGTTGTTTTCAGAAGCATTTGTACAGTTGTTCATATTTGCAACACTGAGCGAGCTGAAAGGCACTTTGATATTAAAAGTCATCACACACCTAAAAAAAGGTTTGTTGACCTTTCTCTCACTGCTGGAACTTGTTATCTACATTCATTTTGTGTTAATCCGTTCCCCTTGATGATGAGCATCAGTGAAGAAACCTCAGAACCTCTGCTGCTTTTACCTCCCAGATTTCCCCCTGCGTCCTGTTCTGTTCCTTTAAAAACTAGAGACCAGATTTCATATGGACAATCTTTATTTAGAATAGTAAAAGTATTTGGCAGACGGACCAGTGAAATCTCTGTTGGCGTTGGAAGCAGGTTTGAAGCGATTTGTCATTTTAAACAAAGCAAAACCTACTGGAAACATGAAAAAAAAGCATTTCACAGTGTATCAAAGTACTGTACAAAACAAATAAGTTGAATGCTTTTTAATTGTGAGCAAAGTGGCTACACAATGATTTAATTATACTTAGAAACTCCCCCACAGTTTAAAATCCGGGTTTACGTCTTATTCAAGCATTTTTTATACACGTTTTACAAATGTAAAAGGAATATTTACCAAGATCAGGTTTTTCATAATGATAAAATCCTTTTTGTAAACATGATACGATGTGTGGGGGGTTAATATAAAGTGTGTGTGTGTGAACAACACCCAATGACCGACACAAAAAGGGAAGCGAAGGACAACCACGAGGAAAAAACACGAATTGAATTACGCGTTGGACGACAGCCATGGCAGACACTAGCAGCGCGGGACGTGTAACGAGAGCGACGGCGTGGGAGTGGATCGGCGCTTCGGAGGTGATGGACGGGCTTCTGTGTCTTCATTAAGAGTCTTTAGTGGCGTTTGCGCAGCTTCGTCAGTAAAGGTCTTTCCGGGAGCTGGACAGGGAGCGGCTGGCAGAGCAGGTGGCACTGCGGATCACCTCCATCCACCTGGAGACGATAAACATTACACTGACGTGCATCACAGTATGTACACAGCGACACATGGTTTTATTATTCCAGCAACTCCACCATTTGTTTTTTCTCATTGCCGACGCATTGAACGAACACCACAAACATAAACCGTCTTTTCCAAAACCAAACAAGTCAAAAAAGGAAGAAAGAACCCCTAAGGCCGACCTTTCGAAGGTGTACTCGCTCTCTGTTCTGAAGTAGTACACGTGGGATTTGAAGTGGAGCTTGAAGACGTAGTCTTTGTGGATGTTCTCGGACTCGGCCGGGGCGGTGACGGAGTAGCCCAGCAGAGGAAGGCTGGCCAGAGGGTAGTCGTCCTGTGAGCAGACGAGCGTTATGTTTGTGCATCGACATGTGACGGCTTCATCACCTCCACGCCTCGTCACACACACACACACACACACACACACACACATCTAACCTGGTGCGACTTGTAGAAGAAGAGGCTGAAGTTGGTGAAGACCACCCAGAGCTTCTGCCAGCCGTTGCTGTTCTTGAACTTCCGCAGCAGGTTACCCGACAGCTGGTTCTGGGAAAGAAAAGCCCAAATAAAGTGTTACGCACGGTCGGGGTGCTGGAAGGAAAGTCTGTCTGTCCGGGTTTGGTTCTTGGAGGAAACCATTTGGGACGACCGGGCCGGTACCTCCACGGCGACGCTGAAGTCCACCATGGACACGCTGGTGTTGCGATGCCAACAGACGTGCACGGTGGTGTTGCCACGGTGACCGGGGCGCTCCAGAGACGAGCGCGAGCCGCTGAGCTCGTCCTCCGACTCCAGCTCCGCTCCGCCGTCCTCCGTCAGCTCTGTGGAGGCGAAAAGCGCCGGTTAGAAGAAAAAACCTCTGACCTCGCTGGGTAGAGTTGAAGAATTCTCCACCACAAGTCAAATAATTATTTCAATTCAGTTCTTTTATATATACTTATAAAGGATCGGTTACTTCCACACGGTCTAAAAACAGTTTCATGAGGTGAATCACGTATCACATAGTGGTACCGCGTCAATGGTTGCAGGTTATTGAGCCAAAACAGTGAACAGCTGTCAGGACAAAAATAAAAGAGGGGAAAAAACTCATTGTTGGTACTACGTAAGCCATTACTCCGACACAGTTGGAGTTAAAAATGTCTGCCGACGTGGCAGACGAATCCCACGTGGAAACGCTTCCAGATAGAATTCTCTGCTCTGGTTCCCACGGGCTCGTACAGTCCTGCTACACTGATGTCCGGACAGGAAGTGGTTATTTGGCAATGATTCATATCCTCTCAATTACTAAAACAAACATGGTAAAAATGACTGATCATTTCAACATCAGTTACAAATCATCGTTTTTGATTAGACAAAATGGTAAGTGAATTTATACATTAAAAGACACAAACTGGGTCTCACGCGCACATACATCTCACATTGTTTTTTTTAGTTGGAATTAAACTCACTGTTGTCAGAGAGGCCGGGGGGCAGCAGGTCAGTGCTCGGGCTGCTGCTCTGCTCCGCCAGGTCGATGGCCATCCTGATGTCCTCCACCCACCGCTCCATCTCCGCCGCACAGCTGGACGCAGAAGTCAGGATAACACAGCGTGTAAAAGGACACATGTTACTGTGTGTGTGTGTGTGTGTGTGTGTGTGTGTGCGTGCGTACCTGGCTGCCACAACCACAGACTGGCGCTGTCCAAACAAGGTGAAGGAATGAGGGACGCCCCACTCCTCCTCACTCTCTCTGATCTGCAACGAGAAGTCATCAGTGGCGTCACCTCGGCAACACGCGGCGCGCCTCAACACCCGAACGAAACGTATAGCTGCGTACCGTCATGCCGTACAACGGCAGCTGGCCGTGGACTTTAAACTGGTTGGACGGGGTCATTCCTCGACTGGTGTACACCAAGGAATCACTGAACTGGGAGGAAGCAAAGGACACCAAGTCCAGGTGAGATTCTCTTTTGCACGATGTTGGATTCACTTTGAAAGGGTGAAGAGTATTTTGTACCAGGAAGAACATCCTCTGCTGGAGGCCCTTTCCCGAGAGCTTGCTGAGGCAACCGAGCCGAATAAATTCCTGAAACACAAAACGTAGTGTAATAAAAATGAGGCCAAGACGCACACATTTGCCTCACACGTGGAAACCAGCTAATTGAAAGTCAGTCACTTCTACTAGACACGGACAGGCGTCGCATCAATAACAAAATGAGAAGCGTCTGACCCTCCCCGGGATGGCGAGGTTGTCGATGCCGGTCAGATCTTTCTTCAGCTCCAGAAGCTTCTGGAAGTTCTCCATCTTCATCATGGTGCCCTGCAGCTGCAGCACCATCTCGGAGATGTCCGCCAGGGCCGCTGAAGATGGATGAACGGATGGTTACGGATAACAAGAGGCAGATTCACGTGGGTGAAAAGGTTAAACTACTAAGCACCTCTGCAGTCCCTGAAGTCCTCGTGGGTGGGCGGGTAGTGCTTGCAGAGCCTCTCCAGGAGGAGTTTGTAGTGCAGCAGGCGGTGGAGGGGCCTGAGGAGGAAGATGTTGAGGGGCAGGTAGCAAACCCTCTGCTGCTCAAAGTCTCGACACGCAGCCTCCGCTTTCCGACTGGACCTGAGGAGCAGGGGCCGAAGATGAGCTGAGCGATCCAAGTCCGAACGAAGCCCGGGCACTTTGCATTAGCATCAAAGAGCTCACCTGCAGACCCGCTCCAGTTCGACCAGGCACTCTGAATGCTTCTGAAGATGAACCGTCAACTGCTGCAGATGCAAAAGACAGATTGTATATAAAGACGACGAGAAATAGTGAGACCAACCATCCTTTTGATTTGTAGCCCAAACATCAGGAGGTGAGGAGCTCTGGGGCAGAAGAAGAGTAGTTACCCTCAGACCCTGAATGTTCTTCAGCAGAATGTCACCAATGCGTTGATAGTCTCCTTTAATGTGAGCGTTAGAGCGACCCTCCCTGAGGAAGAGGAAACAGGTCAGGCTTCTTTCACGTGCAGCGACGCCTGCTCACCAGTAGGGGTCAGCATACAGCTACGTTCGCACCGCACGCCACTCGAGAATCTTCATTCAGCTCCCAAACCCTTCAGTTGTCCGAATGGGGAACAGGTACTGACCACTGGGCCAGCCGCTGCTCCACCTCCCTGAGGAATCCCTGGTGGAACTCGTGGACGGGGTCGTAGCTGGTGGAGATCAGGCTCGTCGCGGAGTCGGGGAAGGCCTCGTCTTTCACCGCGACACCGTGGAAGGACTGCAACCGACAACACCGATTACCAACGAGGCTGGAGACAAGAATTACTGGGATTCTTTTTTTTTTTAAATGGATTACTTGACATTCATATTTTCCATTTGGGACCAAAGGTACGTGATTGAGGTTCTCACACAATCCCGGCAGACCCCAGAATGTGTGGTCAGTGGGTCAGTTTGACATTTGGATGCATCGAGGATAACCATCAGCCGGCCCACACACCGTGACCTCCGACCCCCCCACACCGAGGCGCTATATTGCCCTTCAGAGTAAATCTCACACGATTACGACAGCTACGGGCTCCACAGAGAGACTCGGTGGGAGAGAGGGAGGGTGACGGCGAGAAAAAGAGAGGAGGGAGGGAGGGAGAGAGAGGAGGGAGAGAGAGAGAGAGGAGGGTGTGGATCTTAAGCCAAAAAAAATATTTAAGAGGTTTAAAAGAAAAAAAGAAAAAGCGCCGGATGCTCCCACATCAAAGGGAGTGGAAACTACTGCTGGCGAGAAAAACAGCTGAGGGGGAGAAAAAGACCCAAGAGGGGGAATGTTATTTTTTATTTTGGCGAGGTCAAAGGTCAGCTTCTTGATATCCATCCTGCAGGTGCTTGAATCTGTGTTTTCTCCTCTCCTGCTCATTTGTTCACTGAGACAGTAAAAACACACAGACGGCGAAGTCGAATCACAAAAGACGTGACCCACATTAAGCTGCACCTCCATCGCAGGGTTTGAGATGCAGACGTTGTGTTTGTGCAGACGCCGCGCCTTTTTCCTCCGCGTCGACTTTAGTGGTTTTGCTTGTAAACTGAAGCGCCCGGGAGCTAATCGCCTGCGACGTCTTCAAGAGCAAACAACGTACAAGGACGGGGATTATAACACATGCGCTGCTTTCTTGTGGAAAACAACAGCGCGAATGCCATTTAGAAAACACATGTGAGGGGAAGCGTGAACAAGGAGGAGGCCCATAAAGCCTCCGTCAGCCGTGGGCCAAACTAAATGCGCACAACAGCCCATATTCGGGACGGAAATTGAAAATACCGCCAAAGAAACTGAACACTTGAGCCCAGAAAGGAACCAGTGTGAGGGCCTTGAAGGGGCCGACCCCCACGGTCTCTCAGGGTTGCCAGGTTGGCTTCTCAAGGACCCCTCTCTCCATTCGACCACGCACACGTGTTACTAATCTTTACCTCGGTGATGACCTGCAGGTCTTTGAGGTAGGTCCGCTCCGTGGTCAGCAGCTCCTTGGCTATGAAGTAAGCCTTGTCTGTGGGAAACTTCTGGACACAAACAGAAAGACCCGTTGACTGACCGATACGCTGAGCGATTCCGCTTCAATCCGCCCCGTCTTTGCGACTACCTTCCTCCTGGCCTCGTCTTCGTCGTCGTTGCGGACACATCCGGCGTCGGTGAGCAGCGGGCTGGTGAGGGGCGACAGGTGGTGTCCCTCGGGACACGGACCCGGGACGCCATTCAGAGCGCCGTTGCCGTTAACGACCACGCGGTGACTTCCCACCGGGGAGTCCTCCGAACCGGGGCTTTCTGGGGGAGGAGAGGAAAAGGGAAATACAAAAGGAGACGGGGGGACAGGGATAGAACAAAGGGTGAGATGAGGGAGTAGATGGTAGGAGAGGATACAGAAAAAAGTTAAAATACTAATTCTAAATGTAGCAATCCATCATTTCATTCTGCTCATCAAAGGAGTCTACGTTCAGCTCAAAAACATCAACACATCTCTCCAATGACTTCCTCTAAATACAACTAGGTGCATGGTGACAAATGCCACATGACAAAAAGATCATAAGACGTTAAATTGTTTAGTAGAGGTTAGTGAGGAGGACTGGATTAAACACAGCGGTGCATTATAAAGGCCAATGCAGATGATACAACAGATCGTTTGGATTTATCAGCCAAGTCAATATATGACTATATATTGTCATTGTACACTATTTCATCTTTTCCATTTTGCATACACTATGATCTATTAGGTTGGTGATAGTGATGCTAGTTGTCATGACGACTAAAAACACCAAATGGGCCTGATTGCAGTTGCAGGAGGAATCAGACAAAAGGTTAACGCTACTTCTCACTACAGCTAGAGGGACTACAGAGGCTCACTACGCGCTACCAAGCTGCGACTGTATACTTGCCCGGGTGCAAAGCTTTCAAATGGTCCACCGCTACACACCAAACCGGATCATGGGTAAAACCATGGCAACCACTGAGTGCAGATCTGTGACGGGCGCTATAAAAGAACGGGCCACCATACAGGAAGAACGACAACTACACGACAACACACACACAAACACGTGAGACAAGGGAACAGACGGGTGCACGTGCTCGACAACCAACAACCTCTACTCTACGGGCTAACTACCACAGCACAAGACACGGGGGGGGGGGGCAGTACGACTACTCTACAGAAAAATTCTGGAGTCCCTTTTCGTGGAACACACAAGGTGTTTTTTTATTTTATTGACACTAGTGCACAATTACAGTGTTATAAAAGAGAGAGTAAAGAAATAACAGAGCAGAACCTCGAAGAAGCCACAAGAAATCAAACCCCAGTGGGTGTTTTGTAAGGAAAATAAAAAAAGGACAGGTGAGCAGGAAAGTGTTACAAGGGGGACAAAGAAAACCAGTGAAGAAAAGAGCGACCGTTTAACGCTTTTCTTTTGTAAGGAATACAAAGATTGGAGCAGTGATGCACGTTGGCATGTTCGTTGTTTCAGAGAGGTGGAAACACTCTGCCTCCAATCCTCAAATAGGACGTGAGAAGAGCCGGAGAGCCCGTTTATCTCCGTTTAACAAACAGACGTGATGCCAAAACGCCCCGTGTACCATTTAACTCCTCCTCCGAATTAAAAAAAAATAGCGTTTTGACATTTTGGGAGAAATTGTTCAGTTTTAAAAGTTGGTTGGAAAGATTGAATTCTTGAGAAGTCAAACATCGCACCTCCCAAAACGTTGAACCATTTGCTTTAAGCAGCCCGGTATCGGTCAAACGCGATCACGCCATCACAGCGCGTGAACCGATCATTTCCCTTTCTAAAGTAAATCTACACAACATTGCTTCTGATTAAACCCATTGACATACAAATGACATTATGAGAACAAAATCACAATCTATCAGACTGTTACTGTATGTACAGTACATTCAAGTTACAGAAAGCTTCAATGGAAGAGACTGCTGTGAGTGCTATTTGGTGACAGTGAAAGTGAGGACATCTCAACTCCAGTGTTTGTGTGCCTGTGTGTGTGTGTGTGTGTGTGTGTGTGTGTGTGTGTGTGTGTGTGACCATCTTCTGACAATACTCAAGACTTTCACACATTACAAAAAGCCTCTGAAGGAAATCTTTTATCGTTTTTGCACATACGTTTTGCACATTAAGTTTAACTTGCGTCCGTCTATCTTCGCCCCGTCGCTCTCCACTAAAGCAAGCAAACACTGGAGTTGTTCTTTGTCCTTGGGCACAGCGAGGGGCGAAAACACATGTGGCTTTTGACTATTTGAAAAGGGACAGGGTGCATTTACTTTAGGGTGATGGGGCTGTAACAAAAAAAAAAAAAAATGAAACCATTTTGAGCCCCGTGACAGAAACACAGAGAAAATGAGCAAAAACAGGGCAGATTGACATAAAGGGACATTGCAGGGACATTGTTCGCCTGGACAGCATGCATTTAGAGGAGAGACGAGGACACGGGAAGCAAACAGTTCCCACCGACATGCCTTTAACAAAGCAGCGCATCTCCAAAGAAGGAAGCATGAACGTTTGTTTCAGGAAGAAGCGGTAGCTCTACAAGGGGACTACACCCTTAAATCGCTATTCCAGGGAGCACTGAGGAGTCATAAAGAAGTCAGAATCCCACCTCGGACTTCCATGTTTTCAGATATTCATTTTCAGTTTAGATGGTGACCCGGAGTCCAGACATTTATAGGCTTCTTGCGTTTCAAAATGTCTGCATGCCGATCACCAGAACACTCTGTCGGCTACGTAGCAAGTTCTTAAAACAAATGAAAGCATGCGTTGCAGCGAGCAGCCAGTGACTGGGATGGATGTGCCATGGCGCCGTGACAGCATTGTATCAGCATCCGAACCAAGTGGCGCGTGGGGGGTCCCGGTGCACGGCGGGCGCCGAGCCGAGCAACGCGCGGCTGCGAGTGGGGGGAGGGGGGGCGGGGGGTGGGGCGGCACGGGTTTAAGGCCGATGCTCGGCGGGTTAAATCGCTGCTTCTAAAAGAATAAATGTAAGAAAGACCAACGACCAGCCTAATCAAACACACCAATCGCTCGCCGGCTGCAGCCTCGCCGGGACTTCCACGTTTAACATCATCTACTACGAGGGTTTTCCTCTACAATCCCTTGTCTACCAAGAACATTCAAAAACACTGTACAATGAAAAGGGGAATATCCCTCAGTTCCACAATGCAGCCCCAGCAACCACAAACTGTTAAGAACATGTTTGAAAATCATTCCCATAAAGGACTCAAGCTCTTAAAGCGCCTCTATTGCACAAGACAACAAGTGAATTAATTGTGATTAAGAGAAAATGCTACATTAGGACACAAACGTGAGCTCCATCAGAGGGATGATGAGCGACAAAGGCGGCCGATCCTGGTCAACGGCTCTCACAATCAATGCCAGCTTCAGATCTACAGACCAACAACTCCACAACACAGATTCACAGAAGGCGAGCTACAATCAGTCCCGATTCACCCTAACTGGAGTACATTTGAATGACGATAATATTCATTCATTTATAAGAAAAACAAAAAGCCAGAATCGCAGAAATAATTTCCCCATAAAAACTGCCTCTGGATTCGTCCTAAATATTCAGTTCTTAAGTTATGGCACGTTGTAGGTTCTGGTTACCTGCGGATGCTTTTCAGTCCTCCTTCTGACCAATAGCCATGCAGATTGTTTACTGTGTGTAACGTTGGACAAAAGTCCGGCGTGTGCGTACAAAAAGTCAAAGCAAACACGAGTGTAGTAGGGTTCAGAAACGAGGGGCGTACGATTGATGCGTCTAAAAGTGGGGAGGAGCTTCCAAACTGCAAAAATAAGTTAGAGCTGTTACACAAAATGTGTTTTTTTATAAAGGTGTATCAAAGCTGACCTAAAACTAACTGGTCCCCTTTTCACGAATGTAACCGTATCGGTCCGACACCAAATCATCAGAGTCATTGTGCATTTTAATGCCGAGCGACTCTCACGCCCTTCAACAGCTGAAGACCCGCCCTACTGTGTCTTCCTCGTTAAAGCGGTAACACCCCTCCTCGCCCTCCTCCTCCTCCCCCCCGTCCGGCCCCTCCCCCGACCGGAGACTCCCGAAGGCGAACCTGCTGCGAGGCAGCGGGGACGAGCTCACGCCGTTCGAGTTCACCGAGTTGCCGCAGCCGACGGCGGCGGGGTTGCCGTACGTGAGCGGCTGGCTGTACGCGCCGCCGCCGCTGCCCGCGTCCGACTCGCTGTCGCTGGAGTCGCTGCCGCTGCTGGACGACCCGTCGGCCATCTGGACCGTCTGGTTCAGATTGCCGCGGTCGGCGCCGGGCTTCCCCTGGCGGCCGAACAGCCGCTGCACCGCGCTGGGCCGCGGCTGACCCGGAACCACGAGGTGCCCCGCCCGGGTTTCCGTTGGTCACCACCACCCGCCGCGCCACGGGGGCGGAGCACGGCGCCCTGGTCGCGCGTCCCGGAGCGACGGGGGTCGGGCCGCTGCGCCGGGGTGGACGACAGCCGGCTGAGGACGAACGGATCGGTGTCCGAGCGGTTTGGCACGTTGTTGTTGTTGTAGTGGTGGTACGGCGTGGCGAAATGCGGCGGCGTGCGGTTCGAGGTGATCGGGGAGTAGCTACCGTAGTGGTTGAACGGGAGGGGCGGCGGCGGCGGCGGCGGGACGGAGAGGGTTTCTCCCGTTCCCGGGCGTTTACTGAAATAATGCCCGCCGTCGTCCCAGCGCGGCGCGCGCGGCTGGCCGTCTGTCGCCTCGCCGTGGCTCAGGGAGTTGGTGCGGTGGTGGAAGCTGCTGATCACCGGGCTGGAGCACTGGCTACGGGTGCCGGTTCCCAGCGGACGCACCGCCGACCCGCCGCGCTTTTCTCGGCCCTGAAAAATCTCGTCCAGCAGCGTGCTGTGCAGCGGCAGGCGGCCGTGGAACGACCCTCCGTTGGGCACGATCTCGTCATCCGTTAGCTCGTGACTGGCGCTGACGGACGCCGCGCGCTGCTCCACGGCGCTTCCTCTACCCGGCCTACCCTGCTGCAACAGCCCCTGGTGATTGGTGTGGTAGAACCCGTTCACGGCCGCGAACAGACTCCCGCCTTGCCCCCCGTCGCGACCGCTACCCCTTTGATCGCTGTTACAAACGCGCGGCTCATCCGCTCCGCCGCCGTGGCCCCTGGGAGCCCCGCTGCTCTTCGTCACATCACATTCGCTGTCTATGTCGCTGCAGTCTATGTAAGGGATAGAAGAGCTGCTGCCTTTGTTTGCCCTGCAGGATGGACCTGGGTTGAGGAACTGCGGGTCCGGCGATGATCCGGTGCCGCGGTGGCTCTGTCGGGACGGAATCGGGTCGGAGCCGGGCGCCGCCGCCACCGCATCGCGGAGGCCGCTGGTGGCCGACGGGGCCTCCTCTGGACCGTTGCATTCGCCTCGATGGCCCGGTCTGACCGAGTCAAGCCGGTCCGCTTGCTGCACCGACGCGGCACTCTGCGAAGAGGAAGGATTAAACATTAAACTGCATTCCTGACTCGGAATGGAGAGCGCACACTCCCTCCCCAGAGCTGCCCGGGACAAAAACAGCTTTGTGCTGTCGGCCGCGGAGCAGCTCCGGATTTAAGAGATGGAGAGAAGTAATGAAAAGAAGACTGAAAGGAGACTGGAAATGTCTCCAACGAGTAGAATTAAAAGGAAACTGAAAGAAATATCAACGAGGAAGAACAAATAAATGAGCCTTCTACTGGGTTTAAAGCGCGCATTACCTCTTTTGGCACTTGGGATCTGAAGGACGAAGAATGGGGTGACAGGCCGCTATGTGACAGGATCTTACTGTGCTTCCTGCAAAGAGAGGAGCGGGCGGGTGATGATAAGCCGGGTGCATCCCAACAGGAAAACAGACCCTGTGGTTGGAGTCGTCCGAACAAAAGAGCTTCACCTTTCAAACGGGAGTTTCTTGAGCTCCGAGTCCTTCACATAGTCGATGACCTGCTTCTGGGTTCGACCGCTGCAGACGATGAAAACAGAGTGTACACAAATGCAAAGACAAGTCGTGTGTGCATCCACCCCCCGCCCCGCCGCCTCCAGTCCTCCCCTCACCTGAAGCGGAACGAGGACCCTCTAGTGAAGAGGATGGGTTTGGGTTTGGGCTTGGGCTCCTCGAAGAGCCTGAAGAAGGCGTGGTACTCTACGCAGATCTTCCAGAAGACCTTACAGCAATCCCTGCTGGCCATGGCGAACTCCAGCGTGTCGTGGTGGGCGCTCTGCTGGAAGACGCAGAGGCAGGCGTGAGGACGGACGGAGGGACGAAAAGACGAAATAAGAGACGGGGAGAGAAAGAAGCCGTGAACTCACAGCGGGATCCGCTCTCAGCTTGATTAGGAACTTTTTGCGTTTGAAGCTGAGCTTGCGGACCTTGGACCAGTTGAAGGCGTTGATTTTTGTGTGCCCCTGAAAGGAGAAGAACATTATGAGAAGATGATTAAGAATGAACTTGTTCTCAGTCTGCAATCCTTTGTTCCCCACATCCCAAAATGTGTATTATTGGATCTTCTCTAGTAAACATTTAGGTAACGCACAGCTCCCTCAATGGTCTCACCTGAAAAACCAGCACGCCAACGTGCGCCACGGACAGACTGAGATTGGATCCCTCTCGGTCCTTCGCCGGGTGCAGACGGACGCCGTACATCTCCAACCGCCGGGCGATCTCCAGCAGCTGGTAGTCCGACTCCGCGGGAGTCTGCCCGCTGCGGGACGAGAGTGATCAATCAATCGAACAATAACCGCTGATGGATGGAGTCGCACCGCACAAGTTATGGTCTGTTGTATTTTGAGATTCCAGTTTTCAAATAAAAACCACGACCGGATGCGAAGACCCGATGTGGGCGGAAAGAAATCCGCCACGTGAACAGTTGGTTTTCTTCCGAAAATAGCTTCCTGTTTCCTGTATGAGCTGCTGAATTAGCCACTTCCTTCCTGCGTCGCGCAGTGGGGGCAGATAAGAGGCAGGGAGGGGTGAGATCAGGAAGCGCGTACGCGGTGCACAGCGTGACTAACAACACCTCTGGGGTTTAGTTCTCCCCGTGGTGAAGTACCGGTTTCGGGGGAACTCGCGTCTCCCCGGAAAAGCAGAAAATGCTTTTGCCACGTGGATCTGCAAACAGCGTCGCAAAGCACAAAGTAGATGAGGAGGGAGGTGTGCTGGGCGAGTGTGGGGCCTCTGGGCCACAGGGAGAGCGCAATGTGGTGTGTTTGCACATAGTCACCTCTGCGGGGGAGGGATTAAAAGTGTGTGTGTGTGTTGGGTTTAAAGAGATCATAATCGCGGGTGGGACACAGACGTATGCTGGCTGGGTGTAATCGTGTAATGGGTGTTTGTTAGCGCACATTTGAATAAACAGATAAACATCTCTCTGTGTAAGAGTGGCTGTGTGTGTTTATGTGACCGACAGTAAGGCCCGAGCCACCAACTGGTCCCAAGTCAGACGGTTGCTCAGCTTGGAATTATTTTTCAGGCTTGGATAATCCATTTATCTATTCAACAGTGCGGAAGAAGCAACTTTTAAAATAGTTCATTTTAGTTTCTCGGTTAAATCTCATTTCATCTTCTTTACGGGCCGACTCACACATGCTGGCGGTGGCAGTCGGTGATCTTGTCTCTGATGGCGTCCTGGTCGGGCAGGTACTTGTTGTGGAGGAGATGCTGCCAGCTCTGGGTCTCATCAAAATCTCCTATTTCAGCTGACGGAGGAAGAGGAGGAAGAAGGAGTGATCTCATTGTGTATTTAGAGTGAAAATTAGGAGAGGAGTGACTGAGGGAGGAGATTCGATAAAGATTGTTAAGGACAAGAGGACCTTGCCACAACCAGGGGCAGCGATCTAAGCAAATACTACAAAATAAAACGACACAAACACTTTTGTTCCCGTCTACCGGTTTGTTATTTGTCCTAACCTATCCTACAGTAGATCAGATGAAGCGTGCTGATGCGTGCCTCTACCATCTGTCCCAGCAACGGCGGCGATAAGCCCTCACTGTGCAGCAGCGCCGGTTACCAAGGCAACCGAGTGCTGTTCGTTAGCATGCCGAGCAGCCGCCGTCCTGCCAGACCGATCTTCTCTACATCCTTCACATACGACGCTCAATTAATAACGACGGCCGCTTGCGAAGACGACTGAGAGCTTCACGAAGCAGCCGGGGGGGTGAAAATAAAGTCTTCATCAAATATCCAAACGAAAGGGAGTACGGATTCTACGGATCTCACGCTGGCAAAAAGCTTAAAGTAAATCATATAATAAGTAATGATATAAAGGAACGGGCTTTTGTTCCTCCGCGCGCATGCATTGGGAAGGTTTTTAGTTCTACACGTGTGTGTCGCACTTACACTGAATAATGTGCGACACCAGGAGAGCGGCACTTGTGTCGTTGCAGACGAGTCGACCACAGGCCAGGTCGCGTTTTATCTGCAGAGCGAACAGGTACCTGGATGCAGAGAATGAAGGATACGACACAGAGGGAGAGAGAAGAGGGGAAAGGAAAAGGTTATTCAATCAACGCACACGTCATGAACTCCACGCCACACTGCTGGCATTCACATATATGTGTTTATACGAGTTCAAACCGATCCCTAATTGAGTTTATGACCTTCTCTGTTAATCATTATACAATCGGCCGCTTCAAACATGATCTCATTCAAACAGGACCTCATTCTCTCTCACACACACACACACACACACGACAGACTCTGATGCTGAATTTCCATCACGACACGGCAGACATAAAGAAGACTGTAGCGGACCTCAAAAACCCATATTCAGCTCAAAGACAAGAAGCTCAAACAGATTCTCTTTGAGGTCATTTTGACGGAGACGGTTGCATATTTCAGAAAGAAAGAAGCCTGCGGTGCTCGTTAAACGTTTGGATTATTACCAGCTCCGTGCACGAGGACACACAGTGAACCGACTGCAAGGCGTGCGTTTAATGGTGCACGGCAGCCTTTTATGTGATATCCAATTCAACCTTTTTATCGCTCGCTAATAAAGCTAATGAGGCGTTGGCGAGTTTTGATATCTTTTTATTTCGAGCACGGAGTCATTTTACTATTTGAGAACGTCGCCTAAATTTAGAGAAAAATACATCATACATCAATACATGTGTAGCTGCAGAAAAATGAAATGATTTGCAGCCTGAGAAGACGGAACAGAACAAAAAAAGGGGGGTTTGTTAGAACTACATCTCAAGAGGCCCTTCGCTTGCTTCCTGCTCGGCTCTGGTCTCAAGTGAAGCCAGCTGGGGGCTCAGAGCGAAGCAGAGCATCATGGGAAAATGTGCTTTACCGTGGCTGTAACCGAAGTCCTGAATGAGCAACGTGAAAATATGTCACATTTCAGTCTTTTTAAAAGAAAACAGGCGGTTTCCAGAAGCTACGGATCAAAGTCCCGGAAGGACAAATGTGCGGACGAGTCTGGTTCCCGGAAAGGAGGCGCTTGTTTGAGGTCATGCCATGTGATTATGGATGTGCTGTACAGGCTACTAAAGGTCCAAAACATGACGCAAACATGGTGGAGTTCAGACGCGGCTGTGAAACTGCCCCCCGGAGGCCGGACTGACGAGCAAAAGCGTCTCTTATTCTAAGAGGTTGGTCCTCCGATCGGTGCGGTTTCCGCGTGGAGAAGACCTACCGAGTCAGCTCCTCCAGGAGCTGCGTGTGGTCAGGAGGGAAGAACTTCACCACGAAGCGGAGGATGGTGTTTTTAGGCCCTGAAGCAGAGGAAAGAAGGGCGGTGGTTACATAGTCGGGTTTAAATGGGGAACACATCATCTCTTGAGACTCGCCTTACTTACGCCTGATCTGTTTCAGTGTGGGCTTCAGCAGGTCCAGCCACACCTACGGAGGGCGGAGCACAACTTTACCATGAGCACCGTACATCTACATTAAGCACAATAGTAGCCGTGACGGTGTAACCCAACTATAAGATATAAACGTGTCAAATACACTTTGCAGCTGACAAAGATCGGTGCCTTGGCTGAAAGAACAAGGTTTCTATTTCTTAAAACAGCTCTTTGCAGGGAACCTCTGGGCCTGAAGTACTGCAGCTTCATGCGCAGTGGAGTCACTTTCTACGTTACTTATTAAGAGCCATCTAATTGAGCTCAACCTTCGTGTATTTGCACGTCCTCCGGTGAATGGTTTTTTTTTAAGGCTCAAGGCACTAAAATGCTCAGTTGGAGTGTTGAGCGAGAAAAACGGGTCCGACCGCTCTCCTCCGGCTAGCCGTTCTTTGATTAGTGACCTCTCCACGGGCCAACGCTTGCTCTGCTGGCAGATGTCCTCAGCAGCATCTGAGAACGCTCCAGGTGGAACGGTGTACAAACGATGACAACCGGCTGCTCCTCGATGAGACGGGAGGAACGACTCAGTCAAAGTTAAAACCGCACAGATGTGGCTGAGAGGAAGACGCGTGAAACAAGTGTCGGGAGTCCCCATGCGTGCAGACGGTGGATCCGCATGAGTCATGCGGTTTCAAACCAGACGGCAAGCATGAGCGCGCCTCTCTTGAAAGCTCCCGTTCAGGTTGTAGAAGCAGGGGAAGGTAGAAAACGCATGATTTGTGTGCACTAAAAAAGGAGTGAACGTATTTTGTACTTTAATGCACGTCCTCACGGCGGCACACCTGAGCGTTTCCATTCAGAAATACAACTGCATCCCTCACCGTCATCTTGCGATGGTCCTGGTACTCCAGTCCAAAATAGTCTCCCTCAGCCAGGTTGAGATGGACACAGACCAGGTCAAACAGCACTTTGCCCACGGAACGTTGCTGCGGGAGAATAACAGAGGTGGGAAATGAATAAAGAGGAAACTGGAGGGGAGAAGGCAGAAGGTGAGAGACATAAAGCCCCGCTGCCCCCCCTCCTCCCCCCAACGAGCTGCTCCTCTCTTAACCAGCCGCTGACCTTTGACCCCAGAGGTGAGGCCTAGGCCTCGGGTTTCGTTTCCAATGAATAGCTGGTGGCGCAGGCCGGAGTGCAAACAATGTGGCGCAGGAGAAGTGTGTGTGTGTGTGTGTGTGTGTGTTCCCCGTCGCAGCCCCACCTGATGCTGGAGACTCAGAGAGAGCAGGGATTGGTCATTGCGTCATTTTTGCACAGACGCACTGCGAGAGCATTACAAGTAGCGAGATTTTGGAATTTTCCAAAATAGACTGACGTGGAAGCAAACCCCAAATTAGCCCAGAATAATTTCCCTCTGAGGCCGTTTGAGTTAAAAGGCACCGCCCTGAAGAGTTACAGCGTATTATTACACAGCCAGTGAGTCTGATGAGGCTCCAGAGAATGTGTGTTATATTGTCACATGTGTTGCTTTCACAGGCAGCTATAATCACACACACACACTTTTACTTAACATAGAAATTTGACATTTCGACCTTATATAGATTTTATTAATAAAAGAAAACCGGGAAGACCGATAGCAAGACAGACTGAGGAATGTTAAATACTTTTATTTTTTAAAGCATAAGTACGTGCTGGAATGGAGAGGAGGAATCAGAGCAGCGAAGGCCAAGGTGTTAGCCAAGTCTGTCACCATCTGGCTACCGCGTGTGTGTCTCCATCTGTCTGTGTGTGGTCAGCCTGTCTGCAGGGACACACACACACACACACACACACACACACACACACACACACACACACACACGCCTCCAGTAGCAACATTGCTCGTTAAAAACACAACATTCTCCGGTCCAGTTCTTCTGCTGTCAGACACGGGAAGCAGAGTGACTGCTCGCCACGACGGCGGCGACGCAACAGATGCCACGAGCAGAGCTCAGGGATCCCCGGAGTGTGGACGGGATCCAGAGCGAGGGGTAATCTCGGTTTAAAAGAGGTTAAGAGGAGCTTGTTTCGCTGTATTGTAAAACTTCTTCTTGGTCATTCGTCCGCTTTGTATTTTAAATGAATAAGACAACTCCTTAATGAACTTTTAATAGAAATCCAAATGCTGCCCGGAAGACACGAAACGGAAAACATTTGGAAACCTGCAGCAGGTCGAGTCAAACAAGACGGCCTTAATGAGCCCGAGCAAGGTTTCCAAGTTTGTTTTGGGGCGAGAGCGGTTTCCTCCAAGCTCCTCCGATGTGTGCACGCGCCGGGGAGGTGATCCACATCGCGCTCGGGGTAACGCGACACGCCGGAACGCAGGGCGGAATGTCTTTGAGGAAACGCCGAGGGGGAGTCTTGAGCTATCAATCCCCAGTTAAAACCACACGGGCGTCCCGAACACGCGATGCGTCTGGGCAGCATCCGGTCCGAACCTGAGCAGGACCTGCTATTCGCTTCTTTGAGATAAAAAGACCCAAACGTAACATCGGGAGCGGTAATGAAAAAGGAGCGAGCTGGTCTTTTCACACCAAACGCAGCAACTTAAATGGTCAAGATCAAAAAAGAGGTCACGGGTTCTCAGAATGAGGAAAGGGACGTCATTTATTCCTGGAGAACGGGGAGAATCTGAAGCAGGCGGCCCCTTTTGTTATGTACCATCATTTTTTAAATACAGCATGTCGTCTTTCAAGACCCTTGAAGGAGAGCGAGAATCTGCCTCGGGGGTTCCTGGTTTGAGAGTTTTACGGCCTAAAAATAACTTCTGGACCAGTTGCAGCTGAGCAGGGCGGGCCGAGCTCCTCGCAGATCAACGCACGATCCCTTCATTCAGCAACGCGTGAGCCCTTCTTCCCCAGCCAAACGCACTCTTCTGCTCGTGCACACAGAGACGCATTTTCATCATTCCATGGAGTCCGATCCGGATAATCGTCTCACCCAGCAGAAGTGCAACGCCGCTCGGCATCCCCGGACGTATGGAGCACGATTGGACGCAATCGTCGGCCTTGCGTGCGTGCGACACGCGATTAAAGAGACAGAGAGCTGTTGAACTCATATTTTCCTGCTGCGGCTGAAAAAAGGCAAAAAGGTTGCGTCCTTGGAGGCAGAGTCCGGCCTTTGAGGATAATTAGAAGGAGAGCAGCCTCAGCCACCGACGGGCCATGGGGGGATGCTGGCTTCAGACCTGGCACCCGTCATCCAAGCTGAGAAAACAGACCCAGACCTGCGCAAACACACCAGCACGTCTGTGTGCGATGCACAGTTCAGCCACTCAACAGTCGCGTTTGTCGCACAGCTAAATGAGGAAAACACACACGCATTCGTTGATGCTGCAGCAACATGTTATTCTTCAGCAAAGAGTCGCTGCCTCCTCTTTCTGATTACCTTCCACGAAGTGACTCAGGCCCTCTTCTACACTCAAATTATGGCTGTGCCCCGAAAAACAATACGCATGCCGGGGGAGGCTCTGTGTCACAACGCAGGAGAAAAATACCAATTACAGTCAGCGTGCACGTCGGCTGTGGTGACACCCGCGCGGCGAGTATTTCTGGTTTGTGTCTCTGACAACGGACAAGGCTGAAGAAGAAGCCCAGCTGAATGCGTCGGTGTGAACGTTCTCGTTGTGAGCTGACCGGACTCCGCCAACGCGGCCCGCCGACTCATCCGACGGGTCTTTCAGCGAAACACTCTCCCTCCCGCCTTCCTCTTCAATCCGAGGCCTCTCTCCCGCCGAAAGGGCCGGCTCAGCCGGGCTGTTGTATATCAAAGTAACTGCTCTGCCTGTTGTACCATCCAATCGCCTTCGGCCCCTTGAGGCCAATAGTTAAGAAAACCTTCCCATAGATCACGTCACTTTCTCTATTCAGTCACTGTTTCTCTGTGGCCTTTGTGATACAGAGGAGCAGCTAATGAAAATGCATCAATTACGGTGAGAGGCCTCTGCGGCCAAAGCAGGCGAGAAGTTAGTAAAGCCGTCACACCAGCAGTCGGCTTCATGAGCCTAAAGCACAACCTGCATCTCGTCTTCTCTCAAAACACACCAGCTTTCCGCTGGAAAGTCGACGTCTTTTTTTACCTATTCATTGTTCTGTTTATCTTACGATATTTTCCTTCACACTCCCTTTCCTTCTTGCCCTGCAAACTATGGCCAAGTAAAACATTCCCACCATCTGCCCGCGGTGTGCCGAGGGTTTACAGAGTGCGAATGGCCGATGAAGTCGCCCCCCCCCCCCATTTGCAGCCTTCATACTTTGGGCAACGATACTTCACATCTGGTTGATGTGGTCCATTGCCAGAATTTAAGTTTCAAGGCTTTAATAGCTTCCCGTAGATGAGAAACGAAGAGATCTCACTGGCCCTGCAGAAGTGGGATATTCCCGACAACACGTGAAACAAAAGAACGCGACTCGAGGCGGACTGGCGTGAAGTGAGGGGATGTTTGAAAGGCTCTTCTCTGCTGTCCTGCAGACTTATGTCAACAAAGGAGAGAAACCAGATGGCTGAGACTGATAAGAACCCCCCGCCCCCCCCCCCCAGGAGGAACAAAAGCACCTCAAAGCGGTTCAGTCCCTGGCTTGGAGCGCCAGCGGGGGTCTTTGTCAGGCAGACGACACAAGAATACGCGGTTATTGCTTCAAAACTCTGGCTTTACCCGTTGTTTTTATACACACAGTTCAGCAGCACTGAGGCAGAAGGGGAACGCTCTACCTTTCATAACTTCAAGGTGACGTTAAGGGGCCGGGAGAGCGATCCGTCTGAAATAGATATTTACGCCCCGCTGAGCCAGAATCACCTGAACCGTCACCCGGCTGCTCTCTGGCTGCGAGCGTGCGACGAAGCGCCCGTTTGAGCCGTAAATCTCCTCGATTCTCACGGCCCCCGCACTCCTCACAAAGCTCGGAGCGTTTCACACCGCAGCGCGACGAGCCGTGTCCCGCTGCTAACCTGCCGGTCGGCGGGCCAGGGGTCGACCGAGAGGACGCCGCGGGATGGACAGCGGCGTGCGGTGCGGCCTGCAGATATCGTTCTAGGTTGAATCCTGTCTTTCCTTTGCACGCTACAAATCGAGCCTGCTTCGAGAGCGCCGTCCCCTGGGGAGCGGTTCCCTATAGCAGAGAATAATGGGCCTACACACATTTTCTAAAAGGAAGGAGCCAAGTAGTCCATAAAAGCCGGTTTAGTAGTGTGGTGTTAGAGTCAGGGTGCTAGTTCTTCAGAATTGATGCTGCGGCTTTATTTGACGCTGAGAAGACGAATCACAAAGATCCCCCGCTGCTGATGACCATCCCTCTTAAAGCCTGTTTAGGCCTTTATGGCTGTCATTTAATGGGATTTGTATGTCATACCTACTACTACGTACTTGTAGTGCGACCTCACCCTCGGTACGAGGGAACAAACACTTCAACTTAAAAAGGAGTAAAACGTAGCAGTGAACAGGGGGACAGCTGGAGCTTCCTCCCTCCTCGACCGTCCACCAATCACCACCTCTCGCTCGGATTAGGTTAAACGGCTTAACCCACTGGCAAGACGTCAGAGCGCCTCCACACAACCACACACACACACACACAACTAACCAGACTGCTGAATAAACAGAGTGATGGCAAAATACCTGCTGGTATTGTCAGCGAGGCACTGTGGGAAATCAAACTGGCAGCTCCCCTGATGGGGGTGGATGAAAATGCCTAAAGGCTACAATGAAGACAACAGTGTGCGTCTTTGTGTGTGTCCTCACAGCCCGCTGGAGGCAGACAATTAAATCGAGCAGCAGATGGTAACACATGCACGTTGTTGTACTGTTAAGAAAAGCAATTGGCGTCTGGTGTAGGACGGCGGCCTGCACTGCGCCTCGCGCTGGGATGGGAAGGTCTTTGCAAAGCTTCCTCTGGAGGCCCATGGAGACGCTGGACGATCAACTGGACGCGCTCCTGACAACTTGATGCCAACG